TATTTATACATTCTCTCTCTCTCTCTCTCTGTGTGTCCCACTCTATATATATTTATTTATACATGTATATGTACATGTATTTGTATATGTTATGTCTGTCTGTCTAGCAGCACCCTCCCGCCCCCTGGCCAGGTAGCTCTCGCTGCCTGCATATATACATATTGCATGTGGCCTAATGCCGAACGATTAAAGCCAAGTTAGCCAAAGCTCTCGTGTGCTCGTGTCATGCATTTTTCAAAGGCAACGCTTGTGTCCAGCACACCGACATTAATATTCAACAATAAATACCAACAAGTAGCCAAGCAGACAGCAGGGTGGGACTGAGAGAGAAAGAGAGAGGGAGAGGGAGAGGGAGAGATAGATATGGGATTTTAGGTTCCCAAAGTGCTCGCTGGCATAAATGCATCGTCAATTAATGTAAATTAAAGGGAAAACCAAATTCCATTTCCGTTTTAACAAGACACTTAATTACATAAGTGAATGGACACACTCACACACACACAGCATGTTTGCTGTATGTGTGTGTGTGGCTGCTGGCAACTATGTTTAGAATTTACTTAACAAGATGACGACAAGAAGTGCCCGAGTTATAGACCATTACGGACAATATAGACACATGCAGTTGGCATTCATGCATATTACTCATACGCCATGTGCCGCACACCCACACACACAGAGGGTGCTCACTCTTAAACAGGCATTCAGACATTTTAGTTGCAGCCCTCGCTTTGGCTGCTCCTGGCTCGACTGCAGTTTCAGCTCCTGCTCCAGCTTCAGCTTCAGCTCCAGTTTGGGCTTCGGCTTTGTCAGGTATTTGCATTTGCATTTCGCATTTGCGAGTTTGTAATTAAGTTTCAAGTGCAATTCGAGTTTATCGGCATCAGCCATTCCATATCTATGTAGCTTTGCCTCTCCCTCTCTCTCTCTCTCTCTCTCTCTCTCTCTCTTCCTCTCGCTGGTTATCTCGAGCGCTGCGTGTGTGTGTGCTTGTAATCCTGCCAATTTGACTAACTCAACTTGTAATAGTCGGGTACTCATGCATTTTTAATACCCTGCATACGTTGAAATGACACTAATGGGTATCACAAGCCTAAGCTGGGCTTCAGGCATTCACAACTTAAGTTTCTATATTAAATATGACTTTATTAGGCTTTCTCCATAGCCCTGTTCAATGGGGAATTCTTGGAGTTTTATGCTCAGCTATGTTTAGTGGATTTGGTAATATTCATATAGAAACTATTCTATGCATGTGCATATTTAGTATTTACTATAAAGACGTTCAAGTCTCTCGTAATGAAAAGGGGTATCTACTAGTCGAGCATGCTTGGTCACATAGCCACAACAATCCACTGCCAAAGTTGAAACCTTCAAACGCATTTTATTGTCGGATACTATTTTAATATTTGCCACAAAATTGTTGTTTCTTGTTTTAGCTAATTGTTGTAGCTGTAGTTGTTGTTGTTGTTGTTGTTGTTGTTGCTATTTAATTATCTGGGGCATACGAGTGGCTGCAAATGAAATTGATCACATACGAATAAGAGTGCGAGTGCGGGAGAGAGAGGGAGAGAGAGAGAGAGAGCTGCTAGCCAAGTGCCAATAGTCCAAATATGTAAATTAGTCAATAATTCTACAGCTGCTAATCAACCAGGAAAACACGAAAGCTCGAGTGCAAAGCATCTTCAACGTGAATCGAGACGGCAGCTGGATGAAGGTATTCCCAATTAGATATAAATAATATGTGAGGAGTTTTGTCTATTTCATTATAGTTGGCATAAGCTCATATTAATATCATGTTACTCCTCAGGTAAGAGAGAAGGAGAAATGGATGGGTAGAGGATAGAGCATAGACCACAGTGAATAGGTAAGGTTGACTGGCTCATCTGGAATTCTGTGACATGGGAAAAACTGGAAACAAAGATTTTATTATATATTTTCCTCTTTATTA